CCATAAGATTTTGAAAAAAAATCTATCAATGCATCCTTATAAGGTTTCAGTACTGCAACAATTGTTTCCTGGTGATTTTGTTAAACGTATGGAATACTGTCGATGGTTCAATGAGCAATTAAATGACAATAACTTATTGGATCGAACTTTTTTTACTGATGAAGCATGGTTTCACTTATCAGGATATGTCAATAGTCAAAATTATCGAACATGGGCAACTGAAAATCCTCATTTATTTGTGGAGACAAGTCTACATCCCATAAAAGTTGGTATTTGGATAGCAATTTCAAGAAGAAGAATAATAGGGCCCATATTTTTCTATGACACAATTAATGGCCAACATTATCGAAATATTTTTCTTGAATTTGTTGAACAGCTACAGGATGACTAGTTACAATTGGGTTACTTTCAACAAGATGGAGCAACAGATCATATAGCTAGAGCTACTATTGACCTAATAGAAGAATAGTTTGATGACCGAATTATTAGTAAAGGATTATGGCCTCCAAGATCTCCAGACCTCACACCTCCTGACTACTTTTTATTTGGTCATATAAAAAATAAAGTATTCAGAAATCGTTTGCATGATGTGAATGAATTAGAGCAAGCTATAGTTAATGAAATTGAAAGTGTAACTGAGGAGCAACTGCATAATGTGTTCGAAAACATGAAAAGAAGGGTTAATGCTTGCATAGAAGCTGGTGGTGAACATTTTGAACACTTACTGTAAATGTATATTCTTTGTACAACATCAAATTATCCTTTAAAATAAATTATTGAAGTTGATGTGATCAATTCTGTTCAGAACTGGATTTTTTTTTGTTTATATCAATATGACTTTTTGTTACATATTTTATATATATATATTTTAAATGAACAAAAACAAATTTAACATGAAAAATTAGCATATTCTAAATTAATTTTCAATTTTATAAATACTTACTAATTTAAAATAAATAAAAACAAATTAAAAATTGTATTTGTTTATTATGTCCCATTGCCCATGTACAATTCCATCTTTTGAAGTAAATTTTAAATTGATTTCTAATTTCTAAACGTGCAACAAGCTAAATGTATGATCTGTAGATACTTTCTATATCTATCAAGTTGATCTATTTGTAAGATTTAATAATTCTACTACATAAACGAAAACATTCAAAGCGATTATCACATGTTTAATCAAAATAAGATTACTATGACTTATTCTAACCAATACTGTAGTAATTTAAACAGTCAGCCGTAGTTAAGATAATATACCAGTTGCCATCAAGCTAAAATAAATAATTTGTAATTGTGTTCTTTATGCATAACATTTTTTAACCCTCCGTTCCCACACTTAATTTTTATCAAGAATTTGTCCCTCAAAATTTCAATTATTGAATAATAATCTAAATTCAGCTCTTTTAATAAAATTGGGAGCTGTCCCATTCCGCTACACGCACTGGGATATATGATGCCCCATGCTTATTTATACACAACAATTGAACTTAAAACTCATAACAATTTTTTTATGGTAACTTAGATCACAATAAACATATGTACCAAAAAACTGATGGCTAAAATGCTATTTTATTGACAAAAAGGTAAAAGACAATTTGTATCACAAACGAATATATTAAATTTAATCTAAATAAACGTAATCATTTAGTTAATCTATATACAAAATTGGTAAACAAATCCAAGATTTTCGGGTAAACTTCACTTGTATCCACTTTTTCTTTTTACGACTGGCAACCTCTTAGTCTTTGGAGGTCTTTCTTCAGTTTTTTCTTCGCTACTTTGCTCAATTTCGGCTTCAGTTTGAATTTCAACATAATTAAAATTCTTATCAGAATGTTCACCGCAAAATAATTCATGTTTATTATATCCTTTAAAGATTCAGGAACAAAGTGTTCTAATTGTATCTCGCTCAAAGGGCGAGAGGTGGAAGCATTTCTATGTAAAAATAAAATACCATGCCAATACCCATATGTAATTTAAAAATACCACTACTTCAAGATCCTATCGCAAAAAAAAAAACAAATATTAAACTGTTACAGCACACGCTGGGACATAGTCTTTTGATGAGTATAGACTGAACTTCACTTGCAGAAGAACCTCGACCATATTGAATGTGGTGGAAACTAACTGAATTTATACCAGCGGTATTGGTATTACTTCCAAACTTGAAGATAAAGAAGTGTACGGACGGAGCATCGAGATAAAGTACGGAGGGTTAAATAAACATTAAAAACAAAAAAAAACAGTCAAGAATCTCAAGATACGGTGATATTAGGTTAGGTATCGAATTATTCTTCTTTTAATAAGAGAGGTATTGAATTCAATAGTGATTACATAAAAAAATTTAAAGATAAGATTTTATATTGGCCTAAATGGAATTCTAACATAAAAATATAAAGCACCATTAATTTAATAATATGATTTTTTTTTGTTATATCTCACTGTATTTTGTTCTTAAGGTTACAGACCATAAAAAAAAAGAAGAATAATTTTATTTTTATTTTATTTAAAACACCCACAAAAAATCCAATTGCATTGAAAGATACACTAAAACAAGAACTACATGACATGGAAAAAAAATGAGATCACAGCTATAATAGAAGAACCGACAGACTGGGTAAACTCCAGAGCTGTCACCTATCAGTGAGATTTAAATCATTTTTTGATTTAAATACATTTTTTAATTTAAATACTTTGATTTTAAATCTTTTTTAAAAAAATTATTTTTGATTTATGATTTAAATCTTTTTGAAAAGTATCTTTGATTTTTTACTTAAAAATTAGATTTAAATCTTTTTAAAACGATTTAAATCTTTTTAAAACGATTTAAAACTATTTAAATCTTTTTAAAACGATTTAAATCTTTTTATTAATTTAAATCTTTCTGAAATTATTTAAATTTGTAAAATGATGCGATCTTTTTAAAATGATTTAAATTTTCTTAAAGAATTAAATCTCTTTTAAGATTTAAATCTTTTTAAAACGATTTACATCACCTGATTCGTCAAAATCGTTATCAACCTGTCTATTCCTGAATAATAATCTAGTCAGCATGTCAGTAGGGTTGAATCAGAAATCCGAGAGAAAAGAAAAACAAAAAATAGTAAAGTGTAACAAATAATTGCAATGACTAAAGATTATTTTTAAGTATGAAATTTTACAATATCCTGAAACTATTAACATATGTATTTTAAATTTATGCACACTTTTATTTCAGATTTGACATGAGTTGCATTAAGACGATTGTGACTTTTTGACAAATTCAATAAACACGCTTGGCATAGATAGAGCGAATTAATTAAATTTTTTATTTCTTTGCCCGATTCATCCACACATTTTTCAAAAAAATTAACCCAAACGCGCTCACTTTGGTTATTTATTTACTCGCAATAACTTCACGTTGAGAGAAGAACTCTTTTAATTCAACCCACTCAATTTCATTATTCATAGCCGGGAGATTTTGAAAATGAAATGCATTTTTCCGGGAGAGTCTCTTAAGTACAAAAAAAAACATATTTTTAAAGAGTCTGATGTATGTGATATTTTTTCAGAAAAAAATTCATTTTTCTTAAAAACTAGGTCTCCATTGTTTTGAGGCATCATAGGCATACCAAAAGTATCTTTTAAAGGTTGAAAAATTCCTATTTACCAATTGACATGACATTTTTAAATAACAATTTTCATAACTATAGATATCAATGCTGCATAAATCCTTAAAAATATTATCTTGATTATTTAAAATTAATATTTCCGTAAGAATTGCATTGGGCTAATAACGATAAAAAATAAATACGAGAAAAGTTGATCGAGTTTTGCGTTTTATTTATGAGAAAATCACATTACTTAAGTATTCATTGTGTGGTGTGAATAAACTCAAGCAATAGCTTGAAGCAATAGCTTGTTAGTTTTAGCAGTTGCTTAAAACGGAGTGAATAAACATGAGTTGCCTCTATGAAGTAATTGCTTACCGAAACGAAGTCGAATCCGGAAAAACCGAAGCTGTAACTTGGTCAAGCATTTGCTTCAACGGACAAAAGTCGAGCACTTACTTCAAAAGTCAAGTTGTGACATGAAAGTTTCTCGTTCTATCGCCGCTTCACATCACGTCTGTCTAGGTCAGTCTTAATTAGTAAATAAACTAAGTAGACATGTCAAGTTCTAGCGAAGATGAGGGTTTTATGGGAAAAAAGTTTGATCGGGGTTTATTTAACAAATTATTGGCAGATAACAAAGTTGTCTTAGAAAAATCTAAATTACCGGCAGTTGTACAGGAGAAAAAAGAAGCGTGGGAAGTGACGAAAGTACAGCTGACTAAAATGCTTAGTAATATGAAGACAATCGTAAAAAAAAATACCGATGTCAAAGCCACGGGCAATAAAACAATAAAACTAAAAGTGTGGGAGAAAGATTTTTTTGCCATCATCAGCGATGAGAATAATCCAGTGTTTTCTAAAGTGCCTGGTAGTCTCACCGTCGGAGTAACTGTGGATAATGTAAATGTAAGTAATCAAAACGAAGATGAGACAGTTACAAAGTATTTGGTCAAATATGGAACAAAATCAAAAGGCGCTGGTAGACCATCTGCGGCCATGTCAAGTCAAAGTAGGGTGTCCGACGACGTTCGATTTGATCGAACAGATCATCTACTGGTTCTTATTCCAAATAATAAGCGAAGATGTGCCAAAAATGAATGTAATTCTATTGTCAGAACCACGTGTGTTAAATGCGACATTGGATTGTGCATTGGCTGCAAAGAACATTTTCATACCAAGTAAATTAGTAATAATTATATTGTTTTTGAGGTTATTATTAGTTTGATTACATGATACATTTAAATAAAATTGTTAGAATTTAAGGTAAAGACTGGAAAGTTTATGATGTTAAGGAACTTCAGAAATTTTACAAAAAATAAAATTAGTGAGTACAAAAGAATATTTTTCACAAAGATATTGAACAAAAAGTAGAAATAGAAAGTTTTCCTAATTTTAAAACACATTTAGTAAGTTTAAAACAAAACATAACGAATAAAGGAAAAAGTACAAGACATTTTCAGTTGCCTGAATTACCATTGAATGAAAAAATTAATCCCAAAAAATTGGTAAATTTTAAAACATTACTTCATACACATTTTGGAGAAGACTGGGAGAAAGATGTGAATTTAAACTGGTACAAAAATATTCTTGACAACACTCCTACTGGTAACAACGGTGGAAAGACTCAGTCAGATAACGAAGAGGAACCTCCAGAAGATGAAGAGTGTGACTGTCTTGATGATGAACAAGCAATACATATATAAGTTTGTTAGATGTATTACATTATTTTCTTTTGAATAAAGTTAATTTTTGTACCTAATTGGTAGGCCTTTGATATTTTAATACACAAATTTTTGAAAAAAATTAACAATTCCTGTGATGTGATGATGTAAAACTGAACAAGACCATACTTTTTAGGCAAAACTAAACAAGTCCAAACTTTTTGCAAAATACCACCAAAAGTATTTTTTTGTTCTACTTATAGATTTAGTTACATATCAAACAGGATTTGAATAATTTTTTGATGAAAAAAATATTTAAAAATGCAATTATGTAAGCCTGTATACAAATTATTTAGTTCCTGTAAAATTAGGCTAAGCGGACTTGTTCATTTTTGCAAACAAGCTACTGAATTGTTTACCTTGTTCAACTGCTTCTTCTTCTGCTAAACTTTAATTCCTATTCTACCACCACACCTAGTCAATGAATTATTCAATCCTTAAGGCATCAGCGAGGTTTTACATGTCCTATAGTATGTACAAAGTTTTGGACTTTGAACTTGGATTAAGCCATTTTCGCCAATGTTGTTACTAGAGCTCTTGAAGGACACTTGGAGAAAGTGCTCTCACGAAATTCATTTTGGATTTTGCTTAGCTACAAAACTGTATATTAGGAAACCTTCTTAGTGGTTAAGAAAATCGCTTATGGTGGATACTTTTCCTAACACATTATTATACTCACTTTTTGGCCACATTTCTTCAACGATAAATGTAACTAACTCTGCATGATGACCATTGCCTCTCATAACCTTTTTATATTTCAGGCCTTCTACTTCACCGCTAAATTTCTATTTCACCATTAAATTCCTCCTTCATCATTAACACCATCCAATTATTCTCAAGTTCCCTATATTTTCTACTTCGTTTGACTTCTACCAACACTGGGACTACCTATAGAAAATTGTGCATGATAAATACAACCACTACCCTCATTTATTTATTTATTTAATTGGAATACAAAACAGGACGAACCCAAAAACAGTATTCACATATAGCTAGTAAGATATAAAGTTAAACGTTTACAGATAAAATACAGTAAGATATATTATTTAACAATGTACAAATTTTAAACAGTTAAAGAAAAAATTATTATTATTATTATTATTATTATTATTATTATTATTATTATAAATTGAGGGGCCTAGAATAAAAGGGGTATAAGTGCACTTTTTCTTGGATTGGAGTTAACTACATATATAGAAATTTAAAATTGATATTTGTTTGGTGCAAAACCAATCCAAGTGATATATTGACTTTGACTGCCATCTTTTGACGGGTAGAAATACTATATAAATAATTCCTACAGTTTGTTGTGTGCAAAACGGGTATAAGTGTCACTGGTACCCATTTTGTGCCAAATAAAAATCAGATTGTTTAAGGTACAAAGTATTGATACGCTGTTAAAATTTGTGTTTTGTTTGTTCGGTTCGTGTTATTGTAAAGATTTTTTTAGTAATTTGAGTGTTTATTCTATTGGTTGTTCTCATTATTATTTTGCAATGAATAATTCGGATGCAGAAGGTAAGAAAGCTTTATATAACATAATTTTTGAAGGTTATGTTTATTTTTCCGGTTTTTTTCTCTCTTTAAGATTCCGATATTGCTGATCCGTACGAAACAGATGAGGCAAGTGATTACGTCCCCAAAAATGATTCATCATCATCGGACGATGAGCCAACACACGAAATTGATGCAGAGGCCACAAAAAATGAGGAGGGGGATCACAAAACCCCATCAACAACAAGAAAGAGGAAACAGAATGTGAGTAAATGGAAAGTAAACCAGAAAAAATCTCTTAGAAATGCTGGCAAGGCATAAGGTAAAAGCACCAATATTTGACAGCACCCCAATAATTGACACTCCAAAATTAAAGTGTTTATAAGAAGAACTCTGTATTAAATAGAACCTTCGATAATACGTTAAAATACACCCAGTGCCATCTAGTTTAGACTGTACGAAGGTATGCTTAATCCAATCGACAAAACTGTCATGGCCGAAATATTTTTTCACATGTAATAACGCCGTTTTGTATTTTAGTAAAATTCTTATAAGTTTTGTTAAGAAGGTGGTTAAACAAAAACGTGAGTAGGTAAGTTAATTTTATAAATATTTAATTTTTGGACAATCAGGTTTATTTGTTACTAGTGTTATAATCAAGTACATTAGATTGTTTTGCTATCTGAAATATTGTAGGTTATGAAACGGAGATGTCAACCAATGGGTTTTGAAAATAGCAGAGGTTCCAATAATTGACATTAGTGTCAATTATTGGGTTTCAAATGATTTTTTCAGTTTTCTAGTGAGATTTAATAAGGATAAAATTACAAAAATGTCGCTATAAAAACTGCTTAACTCTGATAATCAGATCCAATGGTTGACACTATTGTCAATTATTGGAGTATATGCTGTCAATTATTGGTTCTTTCAGGAAATGGCGAGTAAAAAGCCATTCTTTAAATATTCAAAAGAACAAATGGAAGACGCAATAGCAGACGTAAAAAGAGGATTAGCTGTGGAAACCTCTGCAAGAAAGCATAAAGTACCAAGAGTGACCTTAATGTACAAAATTCAAGGCAAAACACCAACTGAGAGAAAAATGGGTAGAGATTCCTATCTAACTAAAGAGGAGGAGGGCGTTTTGGTTACCTGGATCCTTAGCATGGCTAAAGTGGGATTTCCGGTTGGTAAAGAACAGTTACTAAACAGTGTTCAACACTTAATGCTAGAATTAAAAAGAGATAATCCATTTGCCAACAACAGACCAGGAAAAAAGTGTTATGCAAGTTTCTTAAAACGAAATCCAATGATTAGCGAGCGTACTTCTCAAAATTTAACTATAACTAGAGCGTCAGTTACCACAGGACAATTAACCGATTGGTTTAATGAAATTTTTAATTACCTCCAAGAAAATAAATACGATGATATATTAAATGACCCAAAACGCATATTTAATGCGGACGATACTGCTTTCTTTCTCAATCCAAAAGGAGATAAGGTTATGGCCGAACGTGGAGCAAAGAATGTCTACAAAATTGTTAACAGTGATGAGAAAGAATGTCTCACCGCGTTAATTACAGGAAATGCTGCAGGAGATCTAGCTCCGCCAATGATAATTTTCAGATATGAACGAATTCCTAAAGAATTAGCAAACAGTGTACCTGAAACATGGGGAATTGGAAAATCCGAAAGCGGTTGGATGACGGGCGAAACGTTCTATGAATTCATATCAAATATATTTTATCCCTGGCTACTTGAAACAAATAGTGCATTTCCGGTTATTTTATTCATAGACGGCTGGTTAAATTCTACAATTTCACCAGTAAAAATATCAACAAATTAATATTTTACATCTACTAAATAAATAAACAATTCTCAAATAGTTCGACTGCTTTTTACTCTAATATAATGTGAAGTCATAAAACTATAAATAGCATTTTTCTCAGAATACCGAACGTCGAACACCTGTGTTTTCAAATGCACAGCGGTGCATTGGAACAAAATGAGTGTCCGGCGCATAGTGAACGAAGCACAAATGACGTATTTCATTATGTCATGATGTTTTCATTGGTTGAAACCGAATAGGTGCGTCAACTATGCCCCGGCCACTCATTTCGTTCCAACAGTATATATTAAGGTGCGCTCGACGCGAGCAGTACAGTTGTATGTTTGCCATCATTCAGTAGTTGTCTTATTGCCACAAACGAGTTCAGTTGTCTTACTTTCGACATTTTTACAAGCGCTTAGTGCATTTTATTTTCTGGTGAAAGTTATATATTCTACAATTATTATGGCATAAGAAATTCTACAAACAAATGTTTTCAAGTTGGTAACAAAAAAATCAACTGTATTAGTTGACCAAATTGTGATGAACTAAAATTGTAAATATTTAAAACTGTTTAGTGAAGATAAGTGAATCAACCACTATGTATTTACTTCAGTGAAAATAGTAAATTAAAAACACTTCTTTTTCTACTACCTATGACTCGTTAGTTATTTCTACAAAAGAACCCAATTCTTCTAACACCAGCGACATATGCTACAGAACATTTTTACCAAAGAAATATTCGGAAGTAACACCGGTATTTTTTCATGGTCCTTATTCAAGCCGGATTCAAATTGGAAATTTTTGGGTTCATCAAAAAAGAAAAATCTACAAGCTCCCTTGGGAGTGCTTCATAGTGTTCGAGAAGAAAAAGAGGCCAGAATCTACTAGTTAACAACAAGAATCAACAAGGTATTTTAAAAAAGACTTTTTATTGTGGGGAAATTTATTTTATTTTGATTGTTTTAACTTTTCATTGGAGATTAAGGGTTTGTAAAATCATTATTAGTAAATTGCATTTCTTTTTGTCGTGGATTTTTCTATTTTCAAAAGAAAAATAATTTTTGTGATTTTTTCTGTACTTATTGTAATAGTTTACATATTTACAGCATTTATTTAAAATTGTTGTTTTTTCATAAATTTTTTTTTTGGTAAATTGTTTTTTGAAAGAAAAAATTTACTTTCTCTAATTTAATCTTTTGGCATATTTTTAATTTTTTTTTCTTTCACAAAAAAAAAATAAAACATCCATTTTTTCATAAAAGATATTTTTTGAAATAATTTTTGTTTAAATTGTTTTTTAAAAAGAGAAAATTTACTTTCTCTAGGTCAATCCCTCGCAAATTTTTTTTTACAAAAAAACACTTAGCCGTTTTTATCAGAAATTTTTTTGAACACTATTATCGAAATGGATCAATTGAAAAAAGTTAGAGGCATTTGTAAATCACAGTTTACCAAAACTAAAACTTGGGTTAATGAAAACTCAGCGTGTTCAGACAAAGGTCCAATAATCGCCAAACTTGAAAGAATTAAACAATATTTTATCAAATACTTAGAAACTCAGGACCAAATTGAACAATCTGAACCTGCAGACATTGATATGGACATCACAGAGGATGGATACTTTGAACTGTTTGCAAAATTAACCACAATGTTGGACAAC